CGTCTCTTGGTTAACAATTTACTTGCACAGACTTCCGTGCCCAGACTAATCTTCACGTGCCGGGAGGGGCCGGGGGGGGGGGGGGCTCAGAAAGTGCCATTTTCCTTTCAAGGGGGCTGGAGGGTTTGTGGCTGAAGGCTGGGGAGAAGAGAGGTGGTACGGGCCGGAAGGGGTGTGTGAGTCCTGCGCATGAGGGGAAAGGTTTATGCCCTTGTAAATCTGTGAGCCGCAAACACAAATCCACAAGTGGGACATCATAAAGCTCCTTCCCCACGTTTTATGGGCCTTCGGCAGGCCTTGAGAAGAAGGGAGTTTCTTCCCAGTCGTAATGAGGATGGGCGAGGCTGCCAGGAGTCCCCTGGCAGAGTCTCTGAAGACAGCCATGAGTGAGAGGCTCAATCCAGGGGTGGCGTTGGCAGAGACCGACTCAGGGAGCCACAATGGCAAAGAGATGCTGAGGGAAACACGGAGGAGAAAGCCCCCCCTTCCCCCCAACCACTGCAAGTCCTCAGGGCTTCCCCTTCATCCCAAATACGGAGGCTCTCTTTCCCGTCTCTCTCAGTTGGGAAGCTTCCCGTCAGCCCCCCCAGATGCCCAGCGAGCCCCCCCACCATGCAGCCCCCCCATCCCCTCCCCTTCCCATCCTGCAAAGCCCTGGATCAGCCCCCGCAAGAGGTCTATTGCCAGAGCAGCCGGGACCCTAGCTTCCCTGGTCGGCTCAGAGCCATCCTGGACGCTGCTTGGTCTGAAGTCTTTGGGACATTTCCTAATATGGTCAAGAAGAGGAAATCCAGGCCACGGATTTTGCCTCAAAGCCTGGCTGGATCTGAAGGGCAGCCTGCGGGCATCGCTGCCATTGCGGGCTTGGAAGCTTTAATAACAGATTTTTTTTGTGGAGGGGGGGAACAGGCAGCAGAAAACGCCCCCAGGGATGCTGCATTGGTTTGCCTTGGCCCCAAATCTTGATCAGGAGCATGGGGGGAGAGGAGAACGGACCCCACCCTTCAAAATGGGGTGTTATTGTGCAAAGTGCTGGGCATTTACAGGCATTCTGGGCTGATCCAGAGTCCCTTCCCATACAGAATTAAACCTGGGGCATTCCCCTCCTTCTCCCATGAGATCAGTGATTAGGAGGGGTCCGGGGTGAGGGGGCTGCAGAGAAGAGCCCAAAACCTGAGCAGGATGGGGAGGATGTATCTAGCTACGGCTATCCTGGCTGTGATGGAGCTTCCCTGTTCAGAAGCAGTCCATCCCTGGATGTCAGACCCTGGGGAGGAGAGCTCCCCTTGACCTGTCGGCTTCCTGCCCCTCCCCCCTGCAAACAATGGGCCTCCTCCAGAAGCTTCAGAGATGTGGGGCTCCCAGGTGAGGAGGCTGACCGCTCGGGGGGGGGGGGGTCTTCCGTTGCAGACCTACTCAGGGCTTTTCTGCGTGGTGGTCAACCCTTACAAGCAGCTGCCCATCTACTCGGAGAAGATCGTGGACATGTACAAGGGGAAGAAGCGCCACGAGATGCCGCCCCACATCTATGCCATTGCCGACACTGCCTACCGGAGCATGTTGCAGGGTAAGATGGCAAGCCCCCTTCCAATGGGTACCTGAGGGCGGTTTCTGCCCCCCCCCCCGGGGGGCTCCATCTGGCTGGTTGGCTCCTCCATCACTGAGCAGGGGTGCCAGGGCATTCCTCCCGGTCTTTTGGCATCGGTGTTTGCCATCCTCCACCAGCTTGTGCCTCGAAAAGGAAAAGCTCTCCTTCCACCCGCCATGCCGGGGCACGTGGCCAGAGAGAATCCCAGGGCACAGTTGGGCAGGCAGGGGCATGGGGAAGGAAGGGCAGGCAGGCAGGCAGGAAGAAGCTGCCACTGCGGCACCTAGTTGGCAGCCAGGAATCTGCCAGGGAGATGGAATTTCTTCTCCTGGAACCGTTGCCCGAATCAGAGAGTCCGCTGCTGGCCCGAGCAGCTCGCTTAGGCAGCTGGGTTCCTGCAGTGGAGCCCTAAATCAGGCCCCACCCTTCTTTGCAAAAAGGCTTCTGGTTGGCTGGACAGGAGTTGGACTCATGCGCAGCTTTGTGGTGCAGAGAGCATGCGGCCATCCCACAGTGGCTTGTGGTCTCTGTTCTCTCCGTTGGGCAGCCATTCTGAGCCTGGAGCCTGGGCAGAAGCGATAGCTGGCACCTGTGGTTTCCCTTTCCTGCCGCTCCTTCCAACCCACGCGGCTCCCTGTCGGGCGTCGTCTCTGGCAACCCCAGATCAGGAGACGTCGGAGCACCTTTGCTGGCTCACCCATGGAGTAATCTACTGTTTAAATCCATGGAGATGAGGCTGGCCGGGCAGGGGGGGGGAGAGCAGCCTGGGTCTGCAGGGGAAGTTCCTGTGGGAGAAGCCAGGGGTGCCAGGGCCAAATGCTCTCAGTTACTGGGTCCTTCTTTTGAGTCTGACCTCAGAAGGCCTCCGCCATCGATGGTTTCGCCCACAGTCTGAACTGTCTGGGTGGCATCCAGAGGGCTGCTGCTGCCAGGCCTCCCCTCAGAGGGGGAGCACGCGAAGAAGCCTCTGCTCTTGGGAGGGGGGCATGTGCTGGGGCTCTGGGGCTGCTGTTGGCGTGGCAAGGGAGCAAAGGAGACATCTGGAGGGTTCCCACCAGGCACCGTTGCCCTGTTGGTGCTCGTGAGAATCTGCTTGGA